AAGTCAGGCATGGTTTTGGCAATACTTGAATTTGTTATTTTCTATAAAACTTTATTTCTCTTGGAGCCATTTGAAACACTAGCGCCGTCAAAACTAGCGACTACTTCCCGAACTAATTTCGAAACATTGTGACGCCACGCACTATGTCTTTTACAATATAAATCTATTTATATAATACTTCATAATCATGCTCCTGCACAATTTTTATATTTTCAGCAGTAATAAGGGCTTATGGCGACACAACTTTTAATGAACTTATACTTCTATGATATTATGTGGTTTATCAATTTATTCTTAGGCCTTGTCAAGAAATTGATCGGAAAAACTAATCTTTCAAATTCAACATTGGAATGTCCTTTTTTGATTCCAGTCGTTTCTCTCAAATTAAATAAATCCAGGTACATTATTTAGGTCGTCATTTCAATTGTAATTAATTTAATTATCAAATAATAATTCAGTTTATTCATACGATATCATTTGATCATTTTAAAACTTTAAAACAGCGCCATCTATCTAATTAGTGAGTAATCGTTGTAAGGGTTGCTAGCTAAAATCGAGTACCGTTCATAAATTTGTTCTTTTTAAAATGTTCGAGATCAATTTATTAGATATTGAGATGCAATTGTCTTTTTAAAATGTTTTATTTTTTGTTAAAACTACGACAATTTACACACATAACATTTTGTTACATAAATCGATCAGTAAATACAAATTAAATAGAATTGTGTTAGACAAGTTTGGTTAACAACTGTCTGGAATATAATAGTAATAGTAATTTCTCATATCTTAAAACATTTTATATGAGTTTTACTTCTACTGACAGTGCTTAGGAACTGCTCAACCAAACTTGATAACAATACCGAGCTATGTAACAAAATACTATGTTCACACGGCAGCACATGAAGTTATACCAAACTGATACACTTCTTTAATGGATTTTCAACTCTATTGAGTTTACATTAAGTATAAAGAGGAAAGGTTTAATTGTTCGCAATGTATGATGTAATGAAAAAAAACTTACACAATTAGAAACCTCTTTTTGAAGGTGCTCTTTTTTCTATTATCACGATATATTTACTTGATTGGGCCAATTCGATAAAAGTTTTAATAGAAAAAATCTATTTGGCAATAAGGAACCTCAACAATAAAGACATATCTATCAGTTTGGAATAACTTTATCTGCTACTGTACGTACAATTTACTTTCAAACAGATTCATACCTCCTTACACTACATATTCGAACTCTTTACAAAACTATCACGACCACAACAGTCTAAATACGAACAATCTTTTACACGTCAAACGATAAACAATCGAGTCTCTATTGTAATAAGGTTGATATTAATGTCATGGTATAAACCTGCATGTTCGTACAAAACGCCAAACTGCCCTCTTCAATCAATTTTTAATCTTACAGTTTTGTATTAGAGTAGAAAATCTATTCATGCATTGTAAAAAGTGATTGAAAAAGAGTAACCATGGAGTTTCTTGCTCGTTCTTCTCCATAGGAATCTACACTTTGGAACGAGCAAATAGCTTCACTAGAGGACAGACGGACAGACTGACACATAAAGTTAAACCTTATGATATCTTTTTTGCTTGACGTTCAAAAGTGCCTTTTTTGGTCTATTTGAAATAAAGAATTTGATTGATTGATACATTGACGAAATCGGATAGAATGTCGTTCGTACATCTTTACATAATATAGTTCAATGTAATTCGTGACTTAGGAGCTAGATGATAAGATTTCAGTTCATAAGTTTACACATGTTTTTCTTGTCACGAAAAAACACTGTAGACATATTGTTTTTGATAAACACAAAGAAAAGTTCAACTATAATGTAACATATTTGTAGTTGTAACAGTAGTATGACCTGTTTAGTTCCCGTGTCACCGCCAGGCGCGGCGCGTGCGCAGACTGCGTGTGGGCGTGCTCGGGGAGGGGGAGGGGACACCGGAGCACGCGGCCGACGGTCACCTAGTCTTGCGTACCCTCCAACATCGTATGCGTCCGTCGCTGGAACGTAAGTATATTTTATTACTTTATATTCTTTGTTCGTTTTCGCATTTCATTTTGTTAAAAACAGGTGGATGTCCGAAACTAATAATAAAAAAATAACAAGGAATTTCTCCTCTATCTGAAATCGTAGGTTCCATTTTATACAATAGGATTTTCTCCCTGAGTGTTTTAAACGCATTTATTCATACAAATAAATATGAATTAAATACACATCAATTAAAAAATAGGGACCAATAATTAGTGGAATAAGTACTTGATGAATAGCCAGCCAGCGATACATTGTATAGCAGTTGACCCAATCACCGTCAGTTTTCGTTTCAAATAGATTTTTCTATTAAGTTTGTATTATAGATACTGAACTAGTTTATCTTGTAAGTTTCTATTTTGATTAAGTGATTAAAAATTATTATTAATTTCGGACACAATTACAAGTGTTGTGCTTGTGCTTAGTGCAATGCTTTTTTTGCGGGGACTGTTAAATTTGAACCTTCACTCATTACTTTAAGGTTTATATTACTGAACTTACAATTTTTAATACAACTTTGAAAGTGCGAATAAACTGTTCTTTTACAAGTACCCCTTTCTGGGTTTTAAAATAATATTTAACTCTATCAAAACAGATCTTTAATATATTGTAGACATACTATTAAAAAGTATGCGTATTATATTATGTTCAAAATCTATGGCAATTAAGTTATAAATCAAGCAAAAGATGGCAGTTTGACGCGTTATCCGTCTTAATTACTTGAGGAGTATTTAGTTAACAAGAATAACTAGTCTACACACAACAATTAAAGCTTAGGATTAGTCAATGAATGGGTTAATATTATAATATTTGGCACAACTAAATACATATTTGGTGTAAAATTGAAGGAAAACGTGTAGCACAAAGTATGAAATCTACATTTAAAACATTAGTACATACATATAAGAGAATAAAGATGCAATAATTTGACTGACATGTTTGTCGGTAAAATGTTCGGCAAATTATTGTACGTATCTTCAAAGGCCTGTTTCACCACAACTCCTCAATAAACTTCCATGTTGCACATAGGTTATATAACTTACGTTCTTTATTAAAATTTATCTGGTACATAGTGCCCATCCAGAGATTGTGAACCAGGCCAGTCATTGTGTTATCATCAATTTAACAAAGAATCATGGTTAATATACCTTTATAAATATTTTGATCTAAATACAGAATTATTATGTGTGTTTGTTTCCGTTCACGGGATCACAGGATCCCGGACCTTTGGAAGGCGTACGAGGGGCCGAAGCCAACCCGCAGAGGCCTGTTGAACAACTTTAATTTAAGTGAAATGGGACATCATTATTTCGATATATGAATATATGCTACTTGCGTGACTTGAAACTTATCAGTTTATATTGAATTTTTCATTTCTTTATCGGGGGGTTATGATTGATTTTTTACTTCAGCCGCCAGATATTTATAAAGGTATATTGTGAATTTTGGTGTTATTTCACACAGGAGTTGAGAGCGAAGCGCGGTATTGCCTGTGAGTGGGGGTGAAGCGGCGGCGCGTGCGTAAGCTACACTGTGACATAGTATAGTCACACCGAATGATTAATTTTGTCGACCGTTTTATAAGATTTCATATAGCTTTTAGCTAATTTGGTAGAAGTATAACCTTTTAAACTTTATGTTTTTATGTTTTTGCAGTCACAGTCACAGCCGAATCGAACGCTTGTGGGCGTTCAAGGATGACCTTGACAGTTCAACCCCTCAGACCGAATAAATGTTACAGTATTACATCATTGAAAAAAATAATGTCTATATCATAAAGTTCGTAAAAATTGGTATCGATTTCTTTTTGAAATAAAGTATAATCTTACCTGTGTTTACATTACCAAATGTTTGCATAAAAACTCAGTGCAGTGAAAAACAAGTTAAAATTAATTGCGAAAAGAGCAGGCTAGGTGGACAAAAATTTATTTCAAAAGCAAAAAGCGCCGCCCATGAGCACTTAGAATACTAAAGGAGTAAAATAGCAAAAATCGACACACACTCACACCCGGTTTCCGAAAGGCCGATCAATGTCAAAATCAATTTAATCTCTTGTCAAGTCATCTGATTGGTTGACTGAATAATCAACAACCAATAGGAAAACCAGAAACCGGGTGTCAATAACATATATCTGATCCGGGCGTTGAACTCTGTCTAAGAAACATTGAATTTATAACCATTTTATTTACTATTTACTACCGACTGACTGATGGTTCTACATGATTAAAGCTTAGAATATTAGTAGCTATTATCAATTTTACCAAAATGATACTATTTTAATATAATAATGATTGATGATATAATTGCTATAACAAATATTTTTCTTCTAAATAAATATATAGAAATACGTGTATATAGCACATATGTATTTCGGCTTGGTTAGTGATAATTTAGCGACATATAAAGCTGTTCTGTTGTTGTTTGAAATGTGTGATTGAAACTAGTCCTTACTGCTATAGTTTGAAGGTGTATTATCAGTTTTTGTGATGTGTGTGTGTATGTAATATAATTTGTTGTTTTTCACTTCTGGTGAGGTGGTAATGTAGGATAGGACATTCATTATGTTAAAGATAGAGCAAAAATAGGATATAATACTTGGGTGGAAATGTAAAGTGCTCTTTTTGTTTTATTTTGTGATTCTAGTGATAATAGTAATATCTGTCAATTATTAAAGAGCAAATAAAAAATAAGTAACAAATACGATTCATCTGCCTACCAGATGTCGCTAATTTAGCAAGATTTCTATTTGTCCAATCAACACAGCTATCAAAAATAAAACACCCAATGGCTTGATACTATCTAGTTCCTTATCGGCCAAAGAAACGACGCGACGGTTCTACACTAGCGCCATCTAGTGGCAGAAAATGGTAGCTTCAGGTCATTTTGCTGCACTAGCGTGTGTGTGTAATGAGTGAAGTGAGTGAAGTAGTGTGTGAGTGTAAGCACCTGTGAGTCTCACTGCTCGAGGGTGACCCGCCAGGCGCGCACTTCGCCGCCGCTGCAACACACTCACATGTTACTCACTTACCTACTACACTACCCTACTTTGACATCGTTATTGGAGACACTATACACTAAACATATTACCCTGGTACATTAAAACAAAAAGTTATTTCATAAAACATAAATTACTAAGACAACATTGTTAGGTTTTCAATATTAAATTACCCATTAAGTAGTTTTTCTAACTCTACTATTTAAAAAGTAGTGTTGCAACAGGTAGGTGATAAGATAAGATACAATTTCACAGAGATTACTATCAAGAAGGCACAGACAATAAAATTCGAGTATTTGTAATAAACAAAAAAAATTAGAATCTCCAATTGAGTACCTGATGTAGGCATAAGAAATCTAAACATCTTCCTTTGTCGGAAGTTGTATAAAATATATTTAAATATTTCAATGTAAGAAAAAAATATTATTATTAAAAATATATTATTTCATTGACTTATGACAATATTATTGCAGTCATGATTTTCAGGTATGAAATAGTATAATATATATTAATACGAATGAAATATAGAATGTAGTATGGAGGTACTGACTTGCCGGCGGTGTAGAGCGCGGGCGTATGTTGGCTTGGATGCGCGCGCAGTGCGTGCGGCAGGTCGGGCAGCGCGGCGGCGGGCGCGGCGGGGCGCAGCGCGGGGCTCCAGGCGCGCAGCGCGCCGTCCCGCCCGCAGCTCGCCACCAGCGCGCCCGGCCCCGCGCCCACCACGCACACACCCGTCACCCAACCTGCACAAACAATCTCACTCTCCAGCAAAACCCAATAACTGACATGCATACTCACTGTCCAGCGAAACCCAATAACTAACATACATACTCACTGTCCAGCGAAACCCAATAACTAACATACATACTCACTGTCCAGCGAAACCCAATAACTAACATACATACTCACTGTCCAGCGAAACCCAATAACTAACATACATACTCACTGTCCAGCGAAACCAAACAACTGACATACATACTCACTGTCCAGCGAAACCCAACAACTGACATACATACTCACTGTCCAGCGAAACCCAACAACTGACATACATACTCACTGTCCAGCGAAACCCAACAACTGACATACATACTCACTCTCCAGCGAAACCCAACAACTGACATACATACTCACTGTCCAGCGAAACCCAACAACTGACATACATACTCACTGTCCAGCGAAACCCAACAACTGATATACATACTCACTTTCCAGCGAAACCCAACAACTGACATACATACTCACTCTCCAGCGAAACCCAACAACTGACATACATACTCACTGTCCAGCGAAACCCAACAACTGACATACATACTCACTGTCCAGCGAAACCCAACAACTGACATACATACTCACTTTCCAGCGAAACCCAACAACTGACATACATACTCACTCTCCAGCGAAACCCAACAACTGACATACATACTTTCTCTCCAGCGAAACCCAATAACTGACATACATACTCACTGTCCAGCGAAACCCAACAACTGACATACATACTCACTTTCCAGCGAAACCCAACAACTGACATACATACTCACTCTCCAGCGAAACCCAACAACTGACATACATACTCTCTCTCCAGCGAAACCCAATAACTGACATACATACTCACTGTCCAGCGAAACCCAACAACTGACATACATACTCACTGTCCAGCGAAACCCAACAACTGACATACATACTCACTCTCCAGCGAAACCAAACAACTGACATACATACTCACTGTCCAGCGAAACCAAACAACTGACATACATACTCACTGTCCAGCGAAACCCAACAACTGACATACATACTCACTGTCCAGCGAAACCCAACAACTGACATACATACTCACTCTCCAGCGAAACCCAACAACTGACATACATACTCACTGTCCAGCGAAACCCAACAACTGACATACATACTCACTGTCCAGCGAAACCCAACAACTGATATACATACTCACTTTCCAGCGAAACCCAACAACTGACATACATACTCACTCTCCAGCGAAACCCAAAACCTGACATACATACTCACTGTCCAGCGAAACCCAACAACTGACATACATACTCACTCTCCAGCGAAACCCAACAACTGACATACATACTCACTGTCCAGCGAAACCCAACAACTGACATACATACTCACTGTCCAGCGAAACCTAACAACTGACATACATACTCACTGTCCAGCGAAACCCAACAACTGACATACATACTCACTCTCCAGCGAAACCTAACAACTGACATACATACTCACTGTCCAGCGAAACCCAACAACTGACATACATACTCACTGTCCAGCAAAACCCAACAACTGACATACATACTCTCTCTCCAGCGAAACCCAACAACTGACATACATACTCACTGTCCAGCGAAACCCAACAACTGACATACATACTCACTGTCCAGCGAAACCCAACAACTGACATACATACTCACTCTCCAGCGAAACCTAACAACTGACATACATACTCACTGTCCAGCGAAACCCAACAACTGACATACATACTCACTCTCCAGCGAAACCTAACAACTGACATACATACTCACTGTCCAGCGAAACCCAACAACTGACATACATACTCACTGTCCAGCGAAACCCAACAACTGACATACATACTCACTCTCCAGCGAAACCTAACAACTGACATACATACTCACTCTCCAGCGAAACCCAACAACTGACATACATACTCTCTCTCCAGCGAAACCCAATAACTGACATACATACTCACTGTCCAGCGAAACCCAACAACTGACATACATACTCACTGTCCAGCGAAACCCAACAACTGACATACATACTCACTCTCCAGCGAAACCTAACAACTGACATACATACTCACTGTCCAGCGAAACCCAATAACTGACATACATACTCACTGTCCAGCGAAACCTAACAACTGACATACATACTCACTGTCCAGCGAAACCCAACAACTGACATACATACTCACTGTCCAGCGAAACCCAACAACTGACATACATACTCACTCTCCAGCGAAACCTAACAACTGACATACATACTCACTGTCCAGCGAAACCCAACAACTGACATACATACTCACTCTCCAGCGAAACCTAACAACTGACATACATACTCACTGTCCAGCGAAACCCAACAACTGACATACATACTCACTCTCCAGCGAAACCCAACAACTGACATACATACTCACTCTCCAGCGAAACCTAACAACTGACATACATACTCACTGTCCAGCGAAACCCAACAACTGACATACATACTCACTCTCCAGCGAAACCTAACAACTGACATACATACTCACTCTCCAGCGAAACCTAACAACTGACATACATACTCACTGTCCAGCGAAACCCAACAACTGACATACATACTCACTCTCCAGCGAAACCCAACAACTGACATACATACTCACTCTCCAGCGAAACCTAACAACTGACATACATACTCACTGTCCAGCGAAACCCAACAACTGACATACATACTCACTGTCCAGCGAAACCCAACAACTGACATACATACTCACTTTCCAGCGAAACCTAACAACTGACATACATACTCACTGTCCAGCGAAACCCAACAACTGACATACATACTCACTGTCCGACGAAACCAAATAACTGACATTTTCGATAATAAGTAAGCTATCTGACGCAAAAATAAAATGAGATCACAATTTTCAGTTTCATAAATACAATTTCACATACTATACACATAACACTCAGACACGGAACCAGAATGTGTGAATCACGCAAAGAATTGTTCCGTGCGGAAATCAAACCCGCGACACGTTGCATGGCAGCCAGATGCCCAGCCAGCGCGCTAACCGTGCACTCACTCATTCGCTTGAATTTCGTAGTCGATAAATATTACATATCTTACCTTTATGCGCGTTCATAACTCCATGGGTCAACGTATGGTCAGCTAGACTCCACCGCTTAAGACTAGTATCACGCGAGGCGCTGTATAACGCGCCGTCTTCTTGGCTCAGTGCTAACGCTTGTACGCCGTCGTAGTGCGGCGGCTCTAGTAGCCAGCGATTGCTTGCTTCATAGTTACCTGGGACATCAAGGAAGAAAAGAAGTCATAAAGACTAATTCTGCAGTTATACACTTTATGAATAATACAAACAAATCTATGTCATATATTTAAAGCAGTACATACCAGTATCCTGTGGCAGCATATCGAGGGTGCGTACATAGTGGTCCTTGGAGCCTGTAGCGACGAGGTCCCCGTGCGGGGCGCGGCCCACCGCCAGACACATGACGGCCGCCGCGTGTCCCGTCCATAGCTTGCACACACACTCCATCCTGCCCAGACAAACGGACCATTTTATTTCAAGTGTGCGACAGTCAAGTTTCGGCACGAATGGGTCGGCTCCAATGATACTACGGCCTCACAGAAAACCAGTGTGAAACAACCATAGTGTTGTGATTACCGGAGGTTACTGGACGCCCAATCCCTCCACCTCTCCTAACCCTACCCAATCCTTAAATATCCAAAACCCTTATCCCCAAAAGGTCGGCAACGCATTCGTAACTCCTTTGGTGTTGCGGGTGTCCATGGGCGGCGCCGATGGCTCACGATTAAGTAATCCGTCTGCACTTTTGACGACTTATCCCATATAAAAAAAACACTAGTTTCCTGACTATTGTCACCCAGTAGATATCTTAGGATGGACGCCGCAGGCGGGGTGGGCCCCGGAAGAGATGGCGTGACGATCTTGACGCCTATCGTCGAGACTGGTGGACACGGTCGTAAAATCAGAAGGTGTGGAAGCGAGGTTTGGCCAGCTGTGGGATATTAGGAGCTAGTAATAATAGCTAATAAATAATAATAGTTTCTGACAGTGTCTTCGTCCGCAGTACAAGGGTAAAAAGTAGCATATGTGACTTGTGCCTCTGTAAAAAAAATTCTAGCAACATGAATATTTTTAAAGCAAAACTTAATGAAGACTTACATCCTTAAGTCCCACAGTCTGAGTTTGTCTCCAACAGCGGTGTAGAGGCGATGGTCTTGTGAGAGTGCTAGCGCAGTGACTGCCACCTCGCCGCCTACGCCACGGTTTGCAGGACATGGGCCCGTCACTCCTGACGACCTGCGAGTAGGTACCATCGAGGTGTTAATAATTATAATAGGTCTTTACCTATGAAATTGCCGTTCTGCAGTACTGGCCATTTCAAATCAAAATAGTTTTTGTTAGGCTAATTAATTTTGTTTTAAAAACATGGGATTCTTTTTCCAAAAGTAGTCAATTGTTTATTGATTAGTGTCATTTTCATCGCATTTCAAATCGAAAATATTATTTAAACTTTCGCATTGGATATTAATATGTTACGTTTCACAGGCGTACCACGGCAGGTGTAACCATGCCATTAAATCCCGTAAAACAGTAAAATAGTATTAACAATTCTTCTGGAAGACGACATCTACTCAACAGTGATAATAAATCTCCCATTTAAGATATGATCAAAGGTGTTCTCACAATCTCCTTATGGTAGACGAGTTTGCAATTAATTTTTCAGATCATAATTGGTTAAGAAATATAACCGAAGATTCTAGAAAATATAATATTAAAATATAGTCAAATGTACTTTATGTAATAGACACCAACTATAACGAGTGTTATATGGTAAGTATCAGAAAAACATTCAGAAACATTTTCAAAAAACAATGTCGCTGACAAGGGGGCTGAGTTTTAGCTATTAAGCATTTTTGTGAAATAAAGATCAGAAGAATGATTGTTTTGGTTACCAGAGCGTGGTGACGGGAGTCCGGGAGCGCGTGTCGAAGAGTCGGACGGCGGCGCCGGCGGCGGCCAGCACGACGCGGCCGGCCGCCGCCAGCGCGCCCACCCCGCCGCCGCACCACCCGCGCCACGACTCACTGCCCGCCACGAAGTCCCAGCCCCGCACCGTGCGGTCTGACATACAATCAATGCATTTTATTATAAAGAATATTCCTTTTTTATTGTACACCATAATAATAAAAACACAGGAAACAACAAACACTGAAGATAGTACAACTGGCGTTCTTATCGCTATCAAGCAATTTCTTCCAGACAACCTTTGGATAGAGTTTAATTGTAGAAGAATTTTACAAGGGCAGTTTACTGCATACATAAGTATCAAAAAATAATACATTACGTTTAAGGGTATAAAGAATAAATAAATAAATAAAAAGAAATACTAAAAATGAAACACAATAAGAGGTATAGTGATGGTAGATAAATTACTATGCTATGCAGTGATCCTTCACCATTTTATTAAAAACTGCCAGTCACTGCGATCGTAAAATTTTTTATTTTTTTGTCAGGGGAAAATCATTAAATGTCTTCTCCCACCCAGGGCCGGGCGGGAGGGAGTGTCAGACTCTTACTAACTAAAAACCCCACTGTTCCTTCTCCTGCTCTGGGCCGAGGTCGCGGTGCCTCATTGCTCTTACCCCGGAACCCCGGCTGCACACGTCTAATTGTCACTGGCAAAGCATTCCACAGACCCGTGGCCTGTACAGCAAACGACTTATCATAAAATGACATGGAGTGTACTGGCATCTTCAATTTCAAAATTCAAATATACAATATGTATTTAGAAAATAATTTTTAACCTCAAAAACGAGAGGCTAACTAACTAAGATTCCCGATTGGTTTGATGATCACGATGGCCAGTCCGTTCAACTAGAGCCGACCCGCAAGAGATATAATACATAAAACCGAGCTCTATTTATTAATCCAATATATGTCGGCAATCAATACGAAAGAGCCAGTCAGGCGTCAAGTGCAGGACCAGCACAAAAATGTAATGTGTCACAAAGGGGGTAAATGAGTGTGTCGTGATGGGCCTGAGGTTAAGGCGCCCGCTTCTTATTCATGAGAGTTCGAAATCTGGAAGGTACCAATGTGATGACGATGATGATAATGATGGATAAATAAACCCAGCCCGATGTGATGGGATAAGAACTTATTGTGTAACACTGAACATAGGACATAGTACATTGGTCATTTAGTCACTGCGTTTAGATAAGCCGAGTGATTATAGTAATAAGGCAGTAAGTCCTTACCGACTCCTCCACTGTAGAGCAGGTCGGGCGTGGCGGCCAGTGCAAGCGCGGCTCCGGCGTGACCCTCCGCCACGTGGGTACACTGCAGCCACGCGCCCGTACCGCTACCGCCACTGCCACTCGTACGCTGCATAAACATGGATATGAAATGGCAACCTTATTTCAAAGCTGATAAGGTCGTTGTTGAATGTTTTATATGATTTTGTAAAAATGGTAAGCTTGTTTTTAACATTTTCAGTTTGAAAATTGTTAATATTCTGAGAGAGTGGAGTCGTAAGAAAGCGATTACATATTTTCATTTGACTAAAACGAAAAGTTTGATTTTCTGAAAATGACAGAATATTCAATACAATTCTATGATACTAAAATCTGTGATCTATGATAAGCAGATCACAAAATCTAAAACACTTAATGAGCGTGAGACATACAAATTTGAAATAACGATTTACGCAATTAGTATCAATAAGTAATCAATATAATTTCTAAGTATAAGCAAGGAATCGCTAATCCGCATTGAGCAAGTGTGGTGATTAATATTCAAACCTCCGTATGAGAAGAGGCCTTTGCCAGCAGTGGGCACTTATATGTACGATGTGATGTGACAGCAAAACTACTAACTAACCTTTAAAGCAATTTCCTTAACGACGCCCTGAGGAGTGTTATCGTTGCCGGCGCCCGTGAGTCGGAGGAAGACATCATCGTCTCGAGCCCTCCTTGCGGCACCCGGGGAAGCGGGCGGAGTGCCAACCGTTGCATTCGGCTCTCTGAGATACCACAACCAGTTAGCAAGATACGGCAGGTTAGATATTAGGTATGTTACATGAATATTTTGAGTATAATTATGTATATGCCATCACATTATGAGACAGGGACGAGATCCCGTCAGAACCATCTCAATAGATTCGAAATTAAAATTAAACATGTTTTTGTTATCAATTTTATAAAGGCTACAGAAAAATTGTATACATCTTTATGCTTTTGTTTCCCGATTTTAAATTTTAATCGTTTTGTTATAAAGTTGAAAATGTGTCAGATGATGTGCTGGCATTTATACTAAGATGATTTATATTACGTATGTTGAAACAGTGATTGTTAGTTACATCCCAATATTGGTACTTATAATTATATAGTTATTTTAAGTATCATGCAGTATACTAAACAGTCTCAAAGTTTTAGTTTGACTAATCTACTGTTTATTAAAACAAGGGAAAATAGTATGAAAGGTTTTTAAGATCGTAAGTGAAGATTAATTAAAAATAAATTGTAAACTTTTGATAGTAAATATCAAAAGCTTACATTTGTAATTACAAATTGCGAAAAAGTTAGCACTTATTTAGTAATCTAAAAGATGATATTATTGAATTAAATTATTATTCCTATTTTATTTTGAGTTAATCGACTAAAAATTTACTTATTCTATGTATTTAAATAAAAATTGGGATGTAATTCATTTCATTATTAATTTATCGTTGGTTAAATAATGTTGTAATAATGTCGTTAGGAATGGTCCAAGTTCAGGCAAAGGACCTTTTTTTAAAAAAAATGAATGATACGTTAACGGATCTCATAAGCTGGGAATTTCGGACATGACAACACTGAATACAGCAACAAAACGAATGAGGCCAACGAGGCACAACTAGCCATGCCATGAATAAAATGGACATAATGACGGACAAACTAACAACACAAAAAATATACTTACAGCGTTCTACTGGGAGGGTTTCTATTCTTGATTTAAAACATTCAGCTACAGCTTAACTTGCATTTCTACCGACTTATTGCAATAACTTTGCGTTTCAAATAATAGAACATCCTGTATAAGTGATTTTTTCTACACACTGGAAGTGCAATTAGGCACTACTTCTAAAGTCAGTTTATTTTTAATTTCACAAGTGGTTTACTATAAATTGGTTAAAACGAAAAGAATACATTTCCAAGTACATTGTTAGTGTTTTTCTTACTACGACATCAAGTTACCTTGACCGGAATTTTTCAACAGATTCACAAACTTCCATGGATGTAAGTAAGATTGAAAATGTATAGTTTTAAATATTGTGGTAGCTTTAATCTTTATCATGGAGGCCTAATCCTAATCAGCTAGGTGCTGGGAATAAGCCCTATCACTATCGAGGCTTCAATTTGTAAATTTTACAACAATTTAAATAAGAAAACAATGTGTCAAACAGGTAATTTAATCACACAATTTTTTAAATAAAAATTAACAAGACCAATTCGCAAAATAAATAAAAATTATAATTGTTCACAGTACAAAAACGAACTGGACAACATACTTTAATCTGAAATAAAATTCCTTCAATGCATTTTAGACTTTATTAAATAAAAATGTAAAGTTAAAAATCCATTGAAAAATTTGGAAAATAAAAGTAGGTTGAACTATTGTCGTTTTCTTTTTTTTGTATACTTTTTACCAATATATAGTATGCTATATCATGCAGTATATAGCGGGGGTGCGGCATGCCGGTAGCAAACAAAACACAAGCTTAATTGCAACTATTTATTGTGCCTACATAATATACATACAACACCACAGATTATGAACTGCATAGAGACTTGAGAGACTTTAAAAAAGTATTCTCACTCCAGAGTTTAATGTGCAAGTGTTAAGTTCAGTCTCTGTCCATTGTATAATCTGTGTTGTCTTCAGTTAAAGCTTAAGTTACACTTGTGACGATATCCTTACAAACTACTTGAATATATTACAGTAAAATGCATCAAGCTAAACAATTCCTTTGGATTAGTATTATTAATTTACATTTTTATGCACTTCTTAAATGCACAGTTCCCTTAAAAACTATAAAGAAGATAGAAGAATTCGTTGATCGATAGTTATACAAAATTAGATCATATGATCATCACAGTTTAGTTCAAATTTCAGCTGCCTTAAAGTGATAGTTATGCGGTATCACGTGAATAGATTATTTGGTCTGACACCCGTATTAGTGACAATTTACATATACATCTTTCAGTTAGTAATTTCCTAACATTTATAAATATATTTGAAAAAAAAAACATGTATACATGAACGCGTACAATGTGTACGTAAAATGCGGACGGGCCCGTAAAACCTAATTTCCCACCGTCTTAATTTATATATAAGAAACTATACTATTAATAAATATTGTTTTAAATACCTTTCTTTGTATTAAAATAGATTACATTAGCTTAGAACGTGTAACAGAATAAAGGTAAAACCTTACAGATGAAACATATATTTTTTTTTATTAATGCTTGTTACAAAAAACAGAAGTTGGATTACATCAGGTGATTGGAGATTCAAATTGAAAAAAAAAAACATACGTCAATGCGGCAAAGATTTGAATTAAAAAAAATAGGTTTGTGCAGAAATATCATTTTTTTTGTTTTCAGCGACTTTTGGTCATAAGAAATCAGCTAAAAAATATGACTCGGTTATTAATGTAAAATGAAGCCATGCCTTTTTCTTTTGGCGAACGTTGTATTAGTGTACCTCCTGTACCAATATCTACAGGAGGTTCCTTATTCAGGTCCATAGATGGTGTTACATATATTCTGTTACACTTTATATGTTATATAGAAATAGTATATGATATAGATGAAGCAATAAATAAGGAGTGCGCATGCTGAGCGTCGTAGTGTGTTAGAGACGGGCGGGGGAGGCCCGGGCCGGCCTCAGTCCTCCACTATGCGCAGCTCGGTCAGCAAGCTGCAAGTTGCAACGCAATACCGCGTCACCGACACCCATTCGCCACGTGCAAACTTACATACGGTACGTTATATATATATTATAATATTGTTTACATGGTCCTACCACCTCGTTCGTCGAGTCGCTAATGTTACTGCCAATCAACTCTTCGCCCGTTCCATTCCTGCCTCGTGAGATAAATAGGTATATCGGTACTTGAATCGAATAGAAAATCTTAGACAGGTTCTACTTTTCTCTTTTTTTTTTGAAAAGCTTTGCCCCGCATTTGGATTTCTCCTCAAAACAACAATTTGTGGATCACACAAAGAGTTGTTCCGTGCGGGAATCGAACCCGCAACACGTTGCGGAACACCTACATAATTGCCTACCCACAGCGGCAACAGTGCAGCCAAGATTGTCTGCAGTTAAAACCTAAGTAAAGAATAGCTGTTTTTGTTTATTTTGTATGTACGGGGGTCAAATAAATCATCACGTCTTTTTGCCTTTGGTGGGGCCAAAGGGATTGTCAGACTCTTTTTGACTAAAAACCTCCCTGATCCTTCTCCTGCTGTAGGACAAGGTCACGGTATTTTATTTTGCGGGGTAAGCGCAATGGGGCACCGCGACCTCGGCCCAGAGCAGGAGAAGGAACGGAACGGTCAGTCATGTGATGAATTTCCCCTCACAAAAAAAAACAGTAAGTATTTTATTCCGCCTGGATCCGCATCACCGGGTGTTATATTCAACACGCGTTTTAGAAATAAGAGGCTTAGAAAGAGTATTATTAGACTTTTAAAAGTTTAAGGAAAATTTACTGAAGAAAAAATTTACAGAGAAATGCAGTCAAGAATAGAACGATAAGCAGAATCATGTAAACAATTGTTTATAATACAATTTTTTCGTTCTTTAAGCTGAGTATTCAGCAAGCGATTTGAAAATTGCACCTATTTAACCGTAAATAACTTTGCACGTATACTTGGAAGATTTTCTCATAACTTTTTTTATCATAAATTTACTTAAAGAACGGCTTTCATTTGAATACCATCCTCTTTTTAATATAAACTACACGGGCAAAATAATTGAAAAACACACAAATCACTAATCAACTCTTAAAATAAAGCGCTGTTAGGTGATTTAAAAAATGTTCTCTATTAAAACACAACATGGCGCCTTTCCTTTAACGGTTAGGCAGTGGTGTAACTATTAGTACACTCACATTGAAGCTGTTATGTAATAAAAAATGTAAAAAACTAATTCAGTGCTTTTACAGAGATTTTTTTTTGTCGTGGTGGCCTGGAGTTTAAGGAGCCCACTTCTCATGCATGAGGGTGTGGGTTCGAAACCTGGCAAGTACCAATGTGACTTTTTCCGAGTTATATGTACTTTGTATGATTATTTAGACACCACTGACATACGGTGAAGGTAAACATCGTGAGGAAACCTGGACTTATAATTTCTAATTGTAAGTTTGAAATCGCCAACCCGCATTGAGCCAGCGTGGTGATTAATGCTCAAACCTTCTCCGTGTGAGAAGAGGCCTTTGCTCAGCAGTGGGCACTTATAGGCTGATGATGTGATGTGACAGAGATTTTTATTTACCGATAACTGATTTTTTTTTAAAACGTTGCACCGTTGCGCAGCCACAGTAGCATGTTCTCGTATGTCGGGGCTGCGTTTACTTACATAAAAAATCACATTCACAACCCGCCCAGACCCGAAACAACAATTTATGGATCACACAAAGTTTTGTTCCGTACGGGTATCGAACCCGCGACACGAGAACTGTGTGCGAAGACTAGTAAGAAGAAAAGTAATAAAAAAGCCGTTTCTTTAAGTAAATTTTAAGACACTTATAATATAATACTGAAAAGATGTAACAAAACAAACGCATACATTTTTGTTACATATAACTAATGTAGGTATTCCCCTTATAGATAATACGAAAAATATGGTTAAAGTAGAAATTAATTAAAACACGAAGAGACTATCGTAGTTGATCGCGCAATCATCCACTGAGCATGATGCTCATGGTTATAGGACCCATTTGTGGTTTGAAATGAGTCGAGCGCTCTCGTACAGTTACGTGCATTATTATTCCGCCAAAACGCTATTAAATTGCAGACAATGCGTTTGTTTTGTTACACCATGAATAACATAGACATATAAATCAACAATAGCTAAATACTACTATGCTATAATGTCTAACTCACACCAAATAGCACATTAACCCAAGCAGTGTACCATGCAGAAAGGGATAGAGATACCGCTAACACCAGAAGTGAAAGAGACAGACATATATCTAACTATTCAAGCTTCAAAATGTTAAGTGTAAAATATAACACCAACTCCCCAACATATAAAATAACTCTTAATTTCAAGGAATAGACAGACATTTTGAACGAAGAAATAAAATATTTCGGAACAATTCAGAATTTTACTAAGGGTTGATTTTTCAATGGTTCGATAAAAATTACCTGGGGAATAATTATAATGCTGTCGCGTCAGAATGTTTGCATAAGACAGCGACAGCAATAATTTTATTCCTCTGATAACATTTATCTGACTTTTGAAAAATCAACCCTAAGTAAGATAAGTCGAAAGTGTTTACGTAATTATAACTAATATTAATTTATTATGAAGACTGGTTAGTTTTGAGCGATAATGAAGTTAAAAGCTGTCGTTAAATATTTCAAATTATAATCTAATTTCTTTTACAATTTTCATCTACAAAACCAAATACAATATGGTTTAATTTCGTCTGTACGTGATCACTTCCGGCGTATCCCCCGATCCCCTTAAATCCCTTTTAGGGTATGTAGAGTGGGGTGTTGTATACGTACAAGGAGGCGGGCTTGGCGAGATGTCGGCGGGGGGGTCGGGGCGACTCTGGGGGCGCGGGGGGGCGCCGTACTGCCACGGGGGATTGTAAAACCCCACCACTGCTATTCAGGGGCTGAAGACCTCTGTGGAGGAAAAGGACATTTGTTTCATATTCTATCTATACTAATATTATAGAGGTATTTGTAAGCTTGTATGTAGGGGGTAATATGTGGAACGCTGGTTAAATTTCTAAAATTTTTTAGGCTATAAAATATCACGCTACAATCTATAGTAGCCGAGCAGCGAGTGAAACCGCGCGTTATTGTATGGTGTAACATATACAAGAAAACATAATTAATATATTTAGCAGGTGTTTGATATACTTGCGATAAACATTGTAAGTCGATATTTAAGCTTTTGCTGCCCGGCTGCTATAGGTTGTAGCGTGATATTTTATAGCCTATAAAATTTTAGAAATCCGACCAGTGTTCCAAATATTACCCTTACATACAAAACTTAATTACAGAAAGAAATACAGAGACTACAGTTACTACTACATTAAATACAGAAACTCTTCTAATCACAAGGCGTAAAGGTTTTATTGAAAATTGAACCTTCTACCGCAGAATTAAAGTTCAAAATGAGTTACCTGAGACTACCAGGCGCGCTAGGCACGCGACTGAGCGGAATGGGGCGGGGGGAGGCGGGCTCCACCAAGGACTGCGTCATCGGGTCCTCGTCCCGACCTATCACGCCCAGGTCGCGGAGACGTACTGAGCCACGACGTTGACTGGACATGGAGAGATAAAGAAATTCGCATTAGCTTTTATTTATAACAATCATATACATCATTCGAGGTAATTTTTCTCAGCTGGGCTTGCAGATCAAGCGCAATCAGGTCAGGCCCAGACTGGAGCAGGAGAAAGGATGGTGTGTTTTTAAGGCAGTAACCCCCCCTTATAGCGCCGGGGTTACGGAGTAAGCGCAACGAGGAACACCGCGACCTCGGCACAGTGAAGGAACGGGGGGACGGGAGGTTAGTCAGTAAGAGCCTGACACTCCCTCCCGCCCGTCCCAAACAGGACGGAAGAAATCATTTGATGAATTCCCCTCACAAAAAGGGTATTATTTCTGCTATAATACATGAAACAACATAATTATACATATGAAAATACTAACGTGTTCCTCTGGAAGGGGGAGGGCGTGTTGTCGTCAGGCGGGGACGTGGGTGCCGTACTGGACTCCCGGACTCCGTTCGTGGGACGCACCTCTAGTAAGGAGCTGGAATACATTGGCATATTAATACAAGTATACTTATAATATAACACGCCATTCTAGTATATAAATAAATATACGAAAAAGCTCCAACGAACGAGGGATTGAGCCTCCGGTAACCTCAATCACACGTCGAAATACAATGCTGTGGTTGTTTCACGCCGGTTTTCTGTGATGATGGTTCCGTGGTATCCCTTCGGTCAAGCCGACCCATTCGTGCAGAAGCTTGGCTCTCTTACACTTAAAATTAAACTGAACTTAAAATTACAAACTTTACAGCAATAATGTGTACCTGTCGACAGGCGAGACGGATCGTGTAGAAGTGCCGGAGGAGACATGTTGCAGTAAGGCGGACAGCGCGGCCGGGACGCCCCACGGGTTCAGGTTCTGGTCCGCATTAGCCAGCCTCAGTGCCGCCGCAGAACGCTCCGATTGCTCCTCCAACTATACACGACAAAGACATTTTTATAATCTTTAGTTAAAAATAAATTGTTGACACACGATTCAATGTCGATAGTTGTTATTTGGTTAACCAGACCCTTTTTGGGGATTCGGAAGCTAGTACCGTTTGTACTAGCTTTCGCGTGGTTGGTAAAAAGCCTGTGTGTTAACCCAGGGTATCACTTATCTCAGAGTGGAAACAACGACTGTCGCAACCGAGGGCCCGTGCAGCATGTTGTGGTGCCGCGCGGCATGCATTGAGCGTACCTGTGCGAGCTGGGCGCGCGTGTCGTGCAGCATGTTGTGGTGCCGCGCGGCATGCATTGAGCGTACCTGTGCGAGCTGGGCGCGCGTGTCGTGCAGCATGTTGTGGTGCCGCGCGGCATGCATTGAGCGTACCTGTGCGAGCTGGGCGCGCGTGTCGTGCAGCATGTTGTAGTGCCGCGCGGCATGCATTGAGCGTACCTGTGCGAGCTGGGCGCGCGTGTCGTGCAGCATGTTGTGGTGCCGCGCGGCATGCATTGAGCGTACCTGTGCGAGCTGGGCGCGCGTGTCGTGCAGCATGTTGTGGTGCCGCGCGGCATGCATTGAGCGTACCTGTGCGAGCTGGGCGCGCGTGTCGTGCAGCATGTTGTGGTGCCGCGCGGCATGCATTGAGCGTACCTGTGCGAGCTGGGCGCGCGTGTCGTGCAGCATGTTGTGGTGTCGCGCGGCATGCATTGAGCGTACCTGTGCGAGCTGGGCGCGCGTGTCGTGCAGCATGTTGTGGTGTCGCGCGGCATGCATTGAGCGTACCTGTGCGAGCTGGGCGCGCGTGTCGTGCAGCATGTTGTGGTGTCGCGCGGCATGCATTGAGCGTACCTGTGCGAGCTGGGCGCGCGTGTCGTGCAGCATCTTGTGGTGTCGCGCGGCGTCCTGCGCGTGTTGCAACGTGGCGGTGGCCAGTCGCTGCAGACAGTAGCGCCCCGCCTCCGCACTCTCCACCTGCTCTAGCAGCGTCGCCAGCTGGTTCTCGTCGTTCTCCTCCTTTACCAACAAAGATAATAGATACATACAGGATTGCAGAAAATTTATTAATTCTGTAATTAAGTAAATGCTGAAATGGTTCAATTTGTCAAGTTAATTAAAACTTTAAATCATACGCCTTCTTTTCGATATTTGGTGTACCGCAGGGTTCCCATTTGGGCCCTATTTTGGGCAAAAGCTACATAAAAAAATATAACAATCAAAATATGCAATATTGGTATCCTGTCATTGCTTATACATATATATCTATATAATATCATTGTTTTCCTTAAAACAACATGAACATACCTCAATCTGCATGATCTGCGCCTGCGTGTCGGCGATGGCGTCCCGCAGATAGCGCAGCAGATGCATGGTGTCGGGGTCGGAGAGGTCCCTCGCACGCTCGCGCTGCGCCAGCAGGCGCTCCATGCCGGCCTCCAGCTCGCCCAGCGTGACGCGAGCCGCCACGGCGCGTGACACCCAGCACTCCAGCCGGGACCACGCCTCGCGGTAGTTCTTGCTTTTACGGGCTTGAGCACGGTCTATACACATACAAATTGTTATAGATACTGTAAACTCGGATTACTTTGATCCTAGAGGGTAACTTTGATCCAAACCCCTTAACTAATAATAACAAATATCAGACAAAATAACAACAATCAGAACCAAACGTATATTCGTTTTTCATTGGTTCGAGAGTTTCGATATGTAATCCGAAAGCGTAGATTTGAATTGGAACCAATACTTTAAACTTACTACCTTAAAATTACTCTCTAAATATTCCTAAAGGGCGCACAGCTGGTTGAGTACAACTCGAAGAATAATTAAACGAACGGCGAAAATGATTTTCTTTCCGCTTGGCTCAAGTGGGAGCTAGAAAGGGCCCTAAAAATCTTCTGAATAGACGTGTTAAGGAAAACGGTGTAACTTTATTTACGTATGTGAAATAGTATTGAAAAGATAACTTACCATGTAGCCTGCCTGCCGCTCGGCTGCTGAGCTTATCACGATGTCCTCTCCTTAGCAATGATACCTCTTCTTGTTTACGCCGCAACACCTAAATATTCAATTAATAATATTAGATAACGGCCTAAAAGCTTAAAACTAACATCTCTCATCAGCTTTCATGCATAAAGGGCAAGTATCAATGCGACTTTTTCCGAATTATATGTACTTTTTATGATTAATTAGACACCACTGACATACAGAGAAGTAAATCATCGTGAGGAAACCTGGACGTAAGGCTGGAGGACTAAATACTGATGATGATGATGATGATGATGATGAAATCTACAAACAATGTTTTATAGAAAAAAAATTAAACTTACCGCTTCCTTCATCTTGGTCTCAGCTTCCAACGATCGGATCAGGTTGGCGTTCTTACGAGATTCTTTGCGGAGTTGTGCCACCTAAAAATATAATAACATATAATTATAAATATAGTATTGCATTTTTTTATTATTTCTTTTAGTATTTGTGATTGAGTTACAAACCTCTTTGGCTCGCGCCGCTTCAGCTTGCGCGTGTCGCTTGGCTTCTTCGCGCATACGTTGGACTAGTTTCACCTGCGAAATAAATTAGAGCATTCGTTATCTTTGAATTCCGTTTTAGTTTTTGACTAGGTAAGACTTAGCAGGGTTTCAGTATCACGTTATAGTCTGGTGACAGACAGAAAGGCGGATGTTCAAGGGAGTTTTTTTTAACTGTTGGGACAGCCAGATTAATTACCCGATGGTAAGCAATCAGTGCCGTCCATTGAGACCCAAAACAATGGAGGAGTTACTCGATCTTACAACGATCGAACCTGACGTTTAGTGCATTGCCGACCTTTTGGGGATAAGGTTTTGGGAGATTTAGGGATTTGGGGAGGGGAAGGATTGGACCTCCGGTAACCTCACTGACTCGGCGAAACAACGTTGTAGTTGCTTCACGCCGGTTTTCTGTGAAGCCGTTGTATTACTCCGGTCGAACTAACCCATTAGTGCCGAAGCATGGAGTGTTAGCAGAATTCTTTTTGTACTCTTTGGGTAGATAATCGTAAAAATAAGCTCGTATTTATAGAGATATGTAACTTTAATCAACAAATCACAGGAGTGAATTTGCGAGTCTTTCGGGTTTTTTGAGTACATTTCGGATGTTCGGGAAAGCTACACGTTCTAATTCCCTTAGTCCGTTCTACCATCGTACTACCAGATAATCGGAAAACCGTCATCGCTTAATGGTCCTATCCTACCCATACGCACGAAGCGATTCGCCTTGAGTTTTATAATCAGAATTGCTAAGGATTGGAATTCTTTGCATGAGTTTGTGTTCCCCGAAGGGTATAACCTGGCTGCCGGGGTAACGGGGTAGGCACAATGTGGCACCGTGGCATTGGCCTAAAACAGGAGAAGGAACAGGAGGTTTTAAGTTAGTAAGAGGTTGACACTCTCTAGCCTTAGCTAGCTCTTGATAGCCTTACCCTGGGCAGATTTTCCCTGACAAAAAAAAACTGGCTATTTTCAAGTGAATAGGTTGCATATGGATAGGCGTGCTACATTGTAGATCACATCATCGTTTACCGCCAGACGTGATAGTGGCCAGAGGTCAGCCTGTTACGAAATAAGAAGTATGTGGAGTATGTGGTACCTTGTCCCGCTTCATGTTCTGCAGCTCGGCGCGCAGCGTGGCGATCTGTTGCGCGGTGTGTTGCTGCGAGCGCTGCAGGCGCGTGTGCTCGCGCGCGGCGGCCTGCAGCCGCTTCAGCTCGCGCGACATGCTGCCCACGCGACGCTCGTACTCCTCCTTCACGCGCTTCAGCTTGTCGCTCGGCGGGGACGCTTGGCTCGCTACATTACATACGTACACAATCAACCTCTCGCCACTACTACAAGTCTTTACTCTCCCCACTTCAACGTCAAAATCATTATTCACAAAAATATGTTTTTATAGGTACCTACTAAATCTAGATATAGGTATCTTATTTTCTGTGCAACGTTTCGCGAGATCGATTGATTTTTCGGATCCGGGTGGCTCGTGTATGTGAAATTGTATATTTATAAATGCAGCCACGACTCAGGAGAGAAAGTCCGAATTTCGATAACGTTTTCGAAACAAAAAGAAGTCTTTTTGGTTTGGTATTGGTAAAAACGTATTATATTCAATACATCAAAGATAGCATGTCTTCTATTTTATTAAATTAATAACACTTTTAAGTCCCTTAACTCAGCAGTTATACTGTCGACCCCTTAACCAAAATTGAATGGAACTAAACATTATACGATATAGGTACCTATTTGGTGTTGTAGCCTGTGCAAAAAAATACACCTTAATAAAATAAACAAAGACTTGTTTTAGGCCTACTTACCAAGTGACGCCAGTACTTTATCCTTCTCATCATTGGTGGCTTTGATCTGATGATGTAGTGTGTCTAGGCGTTGTTCGTAGTGCGTCCTGAGCGCCGCCAGGCGGCGCTGCGATAGTTCTAGTTGTTCTATCAGTCTGGCTTTGGTGTCTATGTCCTCGCTTAGGGCGGCTAACTGGGCCGTGAGGACGCGCTGACCTGAGGATGTAAAATTTTGTTACACTACTTTTTATGCTTAATGATAAGTGTAGATCTTTAAGGAGTTTTACAAGGATAATATTAAAAACTATCCAATAAAAGTTTTGGGGATCTTTCTAGTTTATATTCAGCAGCGTATAAGTTATATGGACTTAGAGGCGTCGTTTGGCGATAAGCGATAGTGCACTAGACGAAAGATTACGCTTATAAGCGAGCTGTCCTCCATGTTTAGTACATCTAGAGTATAGCTGCTATTTTTATTTAACATTCGTATGAACATTTTATTTTAATATTAATCTTACATAGGCGGACTTTATTCTGAATGACATTCTCTACTAATAAAATGCGGAATGTTACAGTAGGTAGTAGTTATGCAAACCTTAATGCAATCTAAAATATTCTAACCTTTAACTTCTGAATCTTCTTCCTCAGAGTCGCTAGCCTCTCCGTCACCGTCCGAAGGTTCAGAATCCTCTGCACTTTCTCCTTCTGCCCTCTCCCTTTCCCCTATAGGTCTGTCGTCGACCGTGCTCGTCATGCTCTCGCTCATATTCAGCTTGCGTTGGAATTCTAACTCGCCCATGCTGCGCGCCAGTAGCTCTTTTTCCTAAGAAATAATATATTTTAAGCTTTAAATATTGACATGAGTTACAATTAAGGTACATAATGTAAACTAAAAACGAGGAGGTCTTTGTTCAGTAGTGGATGTCTTTCGCCTTTTAATTATCTAAAGGGTACATGAAGGTACACGAAGATCTACTTTTCATCAGTGATATGATGGTACAGACAAAATAATAAGGATTCACTCTTAAGCACAATTCCAGTTCTCAACACACAATATCCCAGGTAGCAATTTTGAAATCCCAATACTTAGTTAAGCAAAGCCTAGTTCAAGCTGTAGTTACTGCATTAAGCACTTGATTAGAGAAAATTTTATAATCTCAAGTAAAATTAATAGAGATAAATTGTTCCGGGCATAAAATAATGCAGAAATTAGACTTATTGTTACAGTTCCTTTTTATCATCACAGAATCTACTACACAATATATGACGCACCTTATAAAGTTCCCGTTTAGCATCATCAATGATGAGTGAGGGGTCCTGTACGGAGTCGTTCCTGGTGCGGGCGACCGTCGCTTCACGCTTACGACTCGCCTCGTACATAGCGTTCGATTCCATCAGTTGAGCTCGAAGATCTTCTATCTCGCTTACGTAGCCCTAGAAAGATGATCAAATTGAATATTTTTTAACCTTTTTAAAACTTTATTATTAGGCTACTAAAGTCTGGTTTGCAGGGTAAGCGCAATGAGGAACCGCGACCTCGGCCCAGAGCAGGAGAAGGGATGGGGGGTTTTTCAGTCAGTAAGAGTCTGACCCTCTCTCGCGCCTTACCCTGGACGGGACAAGTCATTATATGATTTTCCCCTGACAAAAAAACTACTAAGGTCTATAGAACCTTATATACTAACATAAATATTCTTATACGCACACTTTGTATTCGTAAATAAACTTAAGTTAAACATCAATCTGCTCTGTTGAGTAACAGATGGGAAGTGGATCATTGTATCTTCTGGTTTTAAATGTTTATTACATTTTATACATTCTCAATAGAAATATGGTAGGCAAGAGTTAATGATAGAAATACGTTTAGAAAAAAAACTCACGATATAGGCAAAACTCGGGTCAGCGGCAGTTACCTCATTGTATCCGACAATTTTCATAAAACAAACCATTTTCTTTCAAATCTAACAAATGGCGAATCTATTAAAAATGCATTATGATCCATGTTATTCTCCTTACCTGGACAAGTGCAGTCAACGAGCAGTCATTGGCATCAGGGCTGCCATCCTTTGGTCCCCAGTTGCCGAGCGCCTTCTCCGCAACGAGTTCACTGTTCCTCGCTGACAACTGTTCGATAGTGCCCTGCATGGCTTTCACTCTTCGCCGAAGAGACTCCACCTCGCCGGTGAGAATCGCATTCTCTTGAACAACATCACTCCAGCCTTCCTCGCCGTTCTCTGATATTACGCGTTTACCCTGAGAAAATTGAAGAGAATATTTATTGTATTTGAAAGTTTACGATGTGTTGTATCAATCCAGATCAATACAGATTATCGTAAACTTCAAGGTTCTCTCACATTATGCGATTTTTACATTGTCTGGACTTGAAAAGAGACTGACCTCTGAGTTTGTTTCGGCATTTCTTTTCAGAGTAGTCAGATAGGAAATGCCAGCTTCATCTAGTTTTTCATATACAAATTGACGTGTAAAAGTGCCGTTTTATGGCCTATTTGCAAAAATAAATTCATTGTTTCATTGTAAAGAGTCTTCGAAATCATGATCGTGTATAATAATTTTGTATTTGTTCGTATTGTATAAGTAGTGCACGTACATATTAGGTATATGTAAATTTATTTTCGATAAGTAGGTATTTTTGAATGACATTTATGTCGTTAAAATTATTTTAAATATATTATTGGTAATTTCATGGTTTTGCTTGGTTCATTCATTTACCGCTGACTTCTCTGCGTCACCCGAATGTTCGACTGACAGAGAATACCAATGGCATCAAGTCCAGAGAGTCCTTGAATGCATAAATAAACAATACGTTGAGGGCAAACCATATTTTAATTTGGTAAAGCTTTGTACTAACAAATAAATAAGAGGATTCAAATATATAATCACGAGTAACTAAAGAATCAACAATAGCTATATAGTGCGTAAATCTTTATATACTCAATTAAATACCTGTTTATATTCAGCAAGCTCGAGTTGTAGCCTGGCGACCTCCTGCCTCAACTGGTGTATAGTCCTCGACGTCAGGTCCTGGTTCACTACACATCTGTTCTTGATATTCCTCGCTCTGTTCGCGTACTTCAACGTATTCAATGTCTCCATGAAATCCCTATCACTGGGAGACACACAAGCTATCATAACTGTGTTACTGTTCCCTCCTAATGAGTCTTGGAGTAACCTCGTTAGTTTTGAGTCCCGGTATGGTACGTGCAGTACTTTTCTAGAACGATCACCGAGAGCCGATATCACATTGCCAAGAGCTAGGAGCCCGCAGTTTATCGATATGCCTTCTTTCGCTCGTTCACCTGTAGCACCTGTTGAAGAAAGGGTTATTTGATTACGATGCCCAAGACAGAAAAGACAGTCTTTTGTAATTTGATAGATAATTGTAATCTGCTATCTTACCTGTCCGTTTTAATCTTTCAGATCCAGCTAAATCAACGAAATGAAATTTGGCCGTGAGTGTTTCGTATTGTTCGGGTGCTTCGGAGTCGGCCTCTCTATCTACAGACGTGTCCTGGTCTGGTGCAAGTCTCCTTTGTCGGAGTAACAGAGTGAATACTGCATGTGATCGTGATGATGAGGAGTTCATGTTGGTAGCTGCCGTGGTCCTCGCGAGGGCACCAGCTCGCAGGGCTCCCAACGCTTCTTGGGCCCCTCTGACTGCTCGCATCGAAGCTCCTACTATGCGGACGCCGCCGCAACCATCTTCTGTTATCCTGAGTGCGCCCTACAACAAATTTCATTTTAAAATAAATTTAATGACAACGGTTAAAGAGCAGATATTTAATTTTGATCGAAGGGAGGGCACATTGGCAATTTAGTACTTAATTGTCAAAGTTAGGTTTCTTACACATAAAATGTTAACTAGATACAAGGTATAACCAAAACGGAACCTGTGCATGATTTTAGGCAAATTTCTGAGAAAAAAATCCCTTTATCGCGACAAGGATACCATATCCACGTCACACAGGAAAATTAAACCGTAACACTTGAATGGGTTCACGGAAATATCGAATTCTAGGAAATATAGCATTTTCCGTAGCAATATGGAGATAAGGGCACGTGCCGATACATGCGGGTATGAAAGATAGCACGGTACCATGCTTGTACGCTTCAGTGGGTTTCGCTCTTCAGGGAAACAATTAGATTACCTTTATTAATACTGCGAGGTAGTGATTTGTCGCTCGACTGCTTACACGACAATGGTTACGGGGTTAATTATAGTATTTATGGAATCCTACCTGTGTGTGTCTTCTTTTATGGAATGTTTTAATACAAAAGATGATGATAGATGTAGGATTTTTTTGTTTGCATAGTAGGTATACTTAGTTGCTACGTACGTATATTCAGTTTAACATTTTTTTTTGGCTTACTATAATTTTACTATTTAACAACATTATGTTTTGGTTGAGTGGTGAATTTATTTATTGGGAGACATCGTAAAGTAAGTCTACTTCGGGGTTGAGGGTGGCCTAGAGCAGTAGAAGGAACAGGATGATTTCTAGTTAGTAAAGATCATCCCCCCCCTCAAAAAGAAAGTCTAATAATAATATTAATTTCGTATTATTTTGTATTGAAATATAGGCATCATTCTATAATCATATTTGAATCTATAGGTAGTCGGAAGTAAAATGAGATGTTAAGAAATATGAGATGATAAGATAGAATAAAATTCTATAACATACATTTGTATTTGATAAAATGGCCAAAACTTTAAGTTTTCTACGAATATGACAGTACTACAATGAAAGTATGACTATTTTAGACGACTTTAAAAAAGTCTTGTTGTTTGTAAGAAAATATCTAATTACTACAATCTGGTCCGGCGAACTCCATATTAACACTGATGACAATAATTTTGTTTCTAATCAAAATTCTAATGTCACTTACAGAACAATTTGTTTGAGAAGAAATATTGAATTTTTTTGTATTTTATACCGTTTTAAGTTTTCATAGAGTCACAAAATTATTTCATGACATGTCGGTCGAGACGTTTAAGAGTTTTAGCGAGACTAACAAACAGCAATTCATGTATAAGATGTTACGATATATGGAGATTTCACTCTTTGTGATGTAAATGTGGGATGATCCCAATATCCCTTCCTTTGTGGAATATTTGCGATCACTGGACCAACAATGCGATCTTTTTTATACGCCTAAGCAATTTATACATATATTTTGTAAACAATGCTACACAGTCCGTGTGAATATTTCGAGTAAATATTATTTGACAAATGTTTACTCAGACACGTCCTTGAGTACCTAGGCCTTCAAACAAGACCGTTTTAGTCTATCTAAATACGCACAAACGGAATGAAAACATAATTAATTCAGTATTGTAACAGTTGTGTTTACAATTACATTCAATGTCCTTATATATATTTAAATAATATATAGTATAAACTGGCACTGTACCGGAGTTTCAGTCGAGTCAACATTCCTCTCATTCACTACTGCAATAAGTAAATCCTTTTGTACATTATTTTATCCTGCTGTTTTTCATTCCTTATGATGTCGAGCAGAGAACTACAAAAAGTAGTTATAACTTGACTGTTACTGAATAAATGGATTGTGTAATTGTCATCGTTAAATATTACATCAATATGTTAAAACAAACGGTTTTTTATAAATAATAAACTCTGTTGTTAGTTAGCGTGCTCTATTCTTTCCATCTAAGTACCTAAGCGACTTTTATGTGCATTAATACATATGTATCGAACTAAAAACGAACACAAAAGGAAACTTAAAATCATATATTTAAAAACTAGCTTCCTGCCGCGGCCTCGCTCGCGTATTAAAGATATTTATCCGAAATTTATCCCGAAAATTTAAAAACAGCGTCGTTAAAGCGATATCTCGATACACAAACAATTTATTGCCTATAGCACTCAGGAATATTGTAGCTGTCTATCAGTGAACATTTCGATTTTTGGAAATCCGTCGGTTGCAAAGATTAAGATACGAGTAGATAGAACTACAACTCTATTCCAAATTCAAATTGGCGAGCATGTATGAAAAATTCTTCTTATCTATACACATATATTAAAAAAAAAAACTGTATACATTTTCATGCGTAACAGCACATTATGCAAATACTAAGACATCTCAATGCTACCGATTATCCAAACAAATAAACGAGTTACTGTCATTTTTTGCACGAACTACGAAATCATTCTGCAATAGGTGACACTTGGGTATGGAGCCATCGCTTTTGACATATACCTACTCAAGTACAGCTAAAGTAAATTCACACATATTAGCAATAAATCATAAACCGGTTGGCCAATTGTGGTTAAACTTTTATGGTTAACAAGTATTTGCCGTGTTAATACGGATTGAAATAATAATGTTTCGTTTTATTTACTTTACATATCTCTGATACGCAAAAACGTTGGTCCAGTCGTGTATACATATACTTCTGTTTGAGAGACCGAATGATTTATATGCAGAATTAGAATTACGACAGCAAAGAAAAACATTGATGTCGCTCTGGGGTGATTTTTTCTCACCCTAGGTGGTGCAATTTCATACAACCCCTTGTTTCTCCTGCTACAGGTCGGGGTAGATTATTAAGCTTGACCCATGTTCTTATCCTATTTTAAGTCTCAATCTTTAGACGTAGATGTACTAACCTTAGCAAAAGGATCTTTGGCAGGATCAAGAAGGTCGACGATGTCTTCATTGTAGAGTTCAATGAACTGTGCCTGAACGGAGAACTCAGGTGGCAACTGTCCCTGTGCGCGCGCCTCATCAGCCCTTGCTTCTGCGCCGGCGAACAAGTCTCTGATGGCTCTGGGAATGATACCACGACGTTCTTCATCACCATCCCCTTCGCCTTCCCATCCACTGCCCATCGTGTAGGTTTTGCCGGAGCCAGTCTGAAAGAGAGAGAAAACGTTAGAATCTTAAAAAATACAAGAGTGACTCGCGTTTGCTTGTATGCTATGTTTTTAAATCAAAACTCCTGAATCAATTCTAACGAAATTCCGGACGTACAAGTTTCTTATCTTCTCAAAATTTAGGACTCTATCTTGTGATTCATAGAGGTTATATTTGTGATCTACAACACAGTTAAGTCAACATTGTACATAATAAGTGAATCAGCGGTTTTCGATACCAAATTGTAACCGGAAGCGAAATAGCCTCCAACGCTAATTAATCTTCAAATTCTTCTACAGTTAAACTCCATCCAAAGGTTGTCTGGAAGAAATTGCTTTTAAGCGATAAGACCGCCAATTGTACTATATTTTGTGTTTATGTTTCCTATGTTTTTATTATTATGGTGTACAATAAAGAATATTCATTCATTCATTCATTCATCTTTAATAGGCGCTAAGGTCAATTGATGACGTAGCTTTTAGATCATAAATTAAGAAAATAAGATTAGGTGAAATATTTTTGGCGCCATCAATTAAGTTATCTATCGATATATGGGGAAGCTACTAAAAGTATATAATAGGTTTATAGAATAAAATTGTCGATTAATTGTTTCGGACATATTCATGTACCTTGATAAACTCTTGATAAGATATTCCAATGGTACGACTACAATATGTTTTCGCATAAGTACATAAGCAAAACTTTTTTACAGCATCATCATCATTACCAAACTCGAGTACGTAATAAAGAAAAGCAACACCACAAACACAAACAAAAAAGGACGAATTCCAACCAGATGCAAGTACAGCTGTCTTTTGAAACCCCGGATGTATTAACACGCGGTACGTTGCCCACATTAATTAGTTAATAAAAACCTACGGATAAGCATTAGATATCAAGTTCCCACGGTCACAGAGCGTGACCACGAAATTCACTTTCTAAACTTTTCGCTTACGAGAATCACAAGTGCTCTTGTAAATTTAAAGTTGGTACATTACAGCTGATTTGTCAACGATCTGAAGTACTCTTTGCATTGGATTATGAAATTTTCTATTTGCTAAACACTTGGGTTTCATTTTGACTTTTGATGATCTTGTACATTTGCCATTGGATTGCGATGGCGCTGTGTCTTACAATTATGCTATAATACCAGCTGCCATTAATGAAGGAACAAGTAATATCATCGTGCAAAATTTCTGTGACCTTACTACGATCTTCGTCCAAGAGTGGAGTTAATAGATTCCTTCTCTTTAAGGATGTTTTGTTCAGTAACTATTCTGTACTTAAATAAGCTTCTGAAGTTTTAGTCTATACTAATATTATATAGAGGTAAAATTGTAAGTTACAAGTTACCACTTAGAACCAGCGGTTCCAAAAATTACCCCCTACATCGCTTTTCCAAAATTATTTCACTGACATATAGCTACAATATTCCTGTGTGTTATAGACTTTTATTATACTTGCTGTTTTTAAAATCCATTACTTTGATACGCGTGCGAAGCTGGGGGTATTGTAACAATCGTGTCAACAATCAGGAAATAAAAAAGTAAACAGTTACAACTAATAACTTATTCATTACGAGTGCAAAGTTGGCCAGTGTACCAATGTTTGTAAAACAGAAATCGAAAGTATGATTATCGCCACGATTTGCTTATTAATTCATCGGAAGCCGGATAAGGTGACTTTAGTTACTTCTTGACACTACATAGTTTCATTTATAACCGACCAATTGTTGACATGCTTACTTGTACAATACTGAGTAGAGGGACCGAACTTAAAACAACAGTCAATCTGTATACGCCTAAACCAAAGAGAGCATTCAATTACATATAAGTAAGTATTAATAGCCATTGTTACACATGTTTTGCGGTTGGCGTCGAGGCGTCACCGCGTCTGCCGCGACGAACGCGTGACTGCAATACAGATCTCGTGAGACGCTCCAACAATAAACTAATAGCTTTACAATTATATAATTTATAGAAAAAAACATTTCACGTGATAAAAAACAGTTCAGTCAATCAGATAACTGAGGATGAGGCGTAACAAAGAGAGAAAGTAAGCAGCGATGCGTCTAATCACATGTGCTGATAATTGTGAGATAAAACTTGGAAAATGGACTTTACATTACGGGGTAAGGCGATTTCTAAGGCGGCATTTGGTTAGTAAATGAGACAATGGACCGGGTAATATCCCAGGCGGCTTAACAATTTCCTTTCGTGTACCATTGTCTTAACTGGTCGGAGATTCCATCCTTTCTTGCTTTCGTCGGAAACAATCCGAAATATTGCAAAATCTATTTTTAAAGTGGGATGTTATCTCAAAGATCTTGAGCCATTATCAATACGCGAAACGAGAGTTGAATAAATTAAGATTGGCGTGCAGTAAGTGGTATTGTTCTTTCTGTGCTGGATAGGTCCTCATGGTTGCGTCACGACACCTATTTAGGACCAAGCATTGTCTATGGGAAACCTAAATGGGTTAGTCGCTCTCATGTAGATGAGATTTGAATGCAAAAAGGGCTTTGTAGTTATTTATAGAGATGTTCCCAATAGTATTTCTGTCAAAAAAGTTAGAAAGCTTCTGGTATGAGTCACGATATAATCTAAGTCTATCTTCCTTGGGAAGTGCTATTTATCGAAGTGATCTATACTTAGCGATACCAAGCTTTCCCTTTCACCAGTATTGTTTGTACTGGTTGTATATTATGTTGATCTATGAGAATAATAGACATGTCTATAAATGAATTGATGATTTTCTATTTCTTGTGAAATTACCAAGCATCAACGGCACAAAATTTTACAACGTTCATACGTCAAAATCAACCTAAAATCCTAGTTCTTATAAAATCTGACAAAAAAAATAGCATGACATAATGAGAACGACATAGTTTTGAATTCATGATTTAGCTTTCCTAGCACTTCACAGCGGCAGAGCCCGCATCAAAGTTAAGTAATTCTGTTGTAGGTATAACAACTTGAGCAAACGGAGTCATCAGTGTTTGTCAAACAAATTATCGAATGTTTGTGAATACACTAAACTAAGGTTTACAAGGACGAATGAGAAATTGATATTGCTTATAATGTAGGATAGGTATAGGTCGTGGATGTAGTGCCGTTTTGAAAACTAGGCGCGGCTAGACGTAGGTGTTTCGTTTTAGTAATAAATACTCCTTATAAGCCAAAGCATATCTTGCAACATTATTCGCTTAGACAAGGTGCTTATGAAGCGCCTACGACACGAAATATGGGGCAAAAGATATTTTTGGCACGATTAGCTTAGATAGTTGGTGTTAAAAACAGAAAGTCTTATGTCAACATAATATTCTTTGCAACCTTATCGACATTTATGAGATTGCCAAAGAGTTTGAATAAAGAGGTCAACCGACATTTTGCCAATGTTCCTAATTAATCTGTGACAGTACACAGATTTAAGTAATTTGTCATGCAAATACGTTAACCGTAGGTGCGTAGTTAATTGATTAGTTTATCACTGTTCAAGGTACTTATAAATCAACGTTTTTAGTTTCAATAACCAGTTTCTAGTTGTTCCTTTTGAGGCGTTCTTACATTATTCTATATCTGTGGCACAAGTTGTTGTAGTATTTTATTTTACATGTATTATTATCATATTTATCAATGATGTGAAGTACTGCCTAGACTTTAGTTGTATCTAAAGATAGTTGTGATTTCAGATTACAAAATCAAAGTCCGGGACATTGATTTTAAGTTATTATAATTTTGGAAGAGCCACGTTTCGGAACGAATGGGTGAAACAATCACAGCGTTGTATTTCGCCGTATGGGTAGGGTTACCGGAGAACCAAACCTAGTATTTTCCCTTCCTAAATCTCTCAATCTCCGAAACCCTAATCCCCAAGAAGCCGGCTATCCATAGGCGGCGTTGATTGCTTACCATCAGGTAATCCGTCAGCTAGTTTGCCGGTGCATCGCATAAAAACTTCATAATAGACATCGTCAAGAAGACATATAGCATAAGTTGGTTTCCAGCATTTGTACACGTCTATCCGCTCAATAACCGTCACAGATTTATTAAAATCGCTGTCGCAGATAACTTGTACCAAACGCTGCGGCATAAGCCGACCGCAGCGCACAACCGTTTTGTTTACTCTGATGTCACCTGCGCGAAACACCCTGTATAACGCGGAAACATGTTTCAATAATTATTTAATGGCCCTCTACTTATAAGAACGTAAATTATACAGCATGTGATCCTTTAATATTCAATTATACGCATATACTGTTACGATATGGTCATTACGCGTTCACATATGGTCTTAACCATTCGTATTCTAGTACTTATACTAGGTTAGTTTATTTACAATCTAATTGTTGTGTCGATTTGCATGGTTCCTTATTGACACGTGCTATGCTTATAATTATTGGTTCTCGTCACAAGTCACATGTGTGTGTTTCGTGTTGGAATGTAATGTAATGTAACATACACTTATATTTGTAAGTATAGATACTTACAAATATAGGTGTATGTTACATTACATTACATTCACAATATTAGAATTTTCTAATATTGTTTCCTATAGCTAAAAAATGTTAGGAATACATAAAATCAGATTAAAAATTTATCAGAATATTATAATAGGTTCTTTAAGGAGATGTATTGATCACATGGGACAAGTACCACACTTAAAATTTAAGTCAAATTCAATATAATTTTTTCCAACTAAACCATGAGTAGGTACTTTTGAAACGTCAAAATTAAATTCGTTTTTTGTTCGTCAGTGAAGCTAGATGCTCGTATCAAAGTTTAGATTCGAATGGAGAAGAACGAGCAAAATTTTCTTTTAACCATCACGTCTCAAATCGAAACAAGTGAGTAGTAATATTCAGGAAAGAAATAAATGTATTTATAAAATCTTAACATCTATTGCTGTCATAACACTGTCTTCGTCCAGCCTCTCCTGACCACTTTCAAAATCATTCAAATTGAAGTGTTTCGAGAGTTTGCTTGGAATGGCATGCAAT